GACAGTACATAGCTTCTTACCTCCATCCCTCAGCACGTATCCAATCAGTCCATCTTTGGATTGGGCTGTGTTTGGTTTTAAAAGTTGTTGTTTAAGTTGCTGGCAAGAGTTTCAGAAAAAGAGAAATTGCTAAGTGAATGTTGGCTTAAGGTTGAGGCAGAATTTCCAGCAGTTTCTGAAAGGCCCATAAATGTATTTCTGCCATTTTGTGCTTATGCAAAGCAGAATTTTTGTCATTAACAATTATAAAATCAAAATATCAGTTAACTCTTGAACACGTTGAAGTGTTCTATATTTTGCAGCACTAAATAGCCAGTTTAATTCTTCTAAAAAACATTTTATTATAATTATTATTTGTGTGCGTGTGTGTGTGTGTGTGTGTGTGTGTGCCAGTGCCACAGTGCAAATGTGGAGTTCAGAGGACAGCTTGTAGGAGCGTGTGCTCTCGCCCACCATGCAAATCTGCGGGGTGAGCACAGGCTCTATGCCCTGCCAACACTTACAATTTCATCCTTTTAAATTGTAGCCACTCTAATGAGTGTGTATGGCATCTCATTGTGGTTGTGATTTGCATTTCCCTGATGACTAACAACACCAAACATCTTTTCATGTACTTGTGGACCATTTGTGTGTCTTTCTGAGCATAATAGCATGTTAATGCCGACTCTTTCAACCTCTAATCGAGGCAATAGAAGATTATGCAGATAATTAGTGCACAATATAGTAAATCAGTTCTATGAAAAGAACTGATCAGCCATGGGAGAGAGAGAGAGAGAGAGAGCTTACACTTGATCTCCGAGCTGTAGCTAGAATGCTGGGACTCTGTGATTTCCTCAAAACTAAATAGCTAGGGCAGGTGACAGGCAGGGTTCTCAGCCCTGCTTCTGTGTTGGGGATGATACAGACCATGGCTGCTGCTCTGGTGGGCAACCCTGCTGGGCAGGTGACTGTGGGTGGAGTTGCTCAGAGACAGAACAGCAGGCTACAGCTGGAGAGAGCTTCACCTCCTTTGATTCGGTTTCCTTGTTCCTGGGCATAAGGTGTGAGCTGGCCTGGACTTCCCAGTCTCTGAAACTAGCTCAGGGCTGCAGAGTCAATGCAGGACCGACTCTGATCCTGTCTCCTTGCTGAGGTCGCCGCATGCCTGGCTATCTGAGCTTGCTACGGCTCATGCAGTGAGGCCGGGGCTGCTCTAGTGGTCTATACTCTGATGGCTAGGTTGCATTCTGCAAGATATATCTGTAGCTGTGTGTGCAGACATAATCCAGACATCACTCAGCAGCCAGCACCGGGCCTTTCCCTTGACCTGGATGAACAATTGACTTAACTGGTCGAGTGCACCAAATGACCAGTGTGATCAGTTGGAAAACTGCTTTGATTGATTTTCTTTCTCCTCCACTAGGGCTACTGTCCGCTGGCCTCAATCAAAATGAAATCTGGCTTTGCAAAGGCTCCACTACACGGAGTATCTTAGTTTCTGTGTCCGTCTTGCTTATCTCTGATCGCAAGGGCTCACAGATTTGGCACATGCATCAAAGTGCTAGAGTTTTCTGTGCCGCGAGCAGGCTGTGTTATCAGCATGATACAACGGAGGAGGTGTTGATTCTGGAATGCACTAGAATCTGGGCTTAGTCAAAGTTGTGCTACTTACAGTCATTAAGACCTTGGATGAATCAGTCTTAAGATCCGGGTCCTCTTCTCTAACAGGAACGGTGAAAGTTACCTCCAGTGTTCTGAGGATTAATGCTGACAATGGACCTGACATTCAGGTATACTTATCGTTTTTCTCGGGCTCTGGGCTTCAAGCCTCTACCTGTAAAAGCTGAGTGGGATAGACTGCTTCTATTGCACCTGCAATGTACATTATATTGGTAAATTGTGTGTTTTTTAAAAGCTTGTTGAAAGTGATCTCTGGGATTGAGGAGGGACCTCCTGTCTTAGACTCAGGATGTTTATTTCAAGGGTTCTCTAGAATATCTTCTTTGGGCAGGCTAGCTCCCTAACAACAGCTAAGGGTGCTGGAAACATTGTGCTCTTGAGAGCAGCTAGGAGGCCAACTATTTCCCGCAGAGGTTGCTAGCATTTATCTCATGATTTCAGAAGCCCCCCCCCCCGGTGGAAACTGGAAGCCAGAAGTTCAGCTATAGGAAACTTATCAGTGGGGAGAGAGGGCAGAGAGGACCCTCCACCTGAACTGTCAACCAGGAACCCCAGCGGGCTGCCTTGGCTTTCTTGGTTTCTGTTTGCCGTTTGCAAGGTCTCGACTCGAAGCTCTCTTCCCCCCATCCTCCACTTCTCTCTAGCTCTATCAGTCTTTATTGCTTGCTCTAGTCTTAATAAACTTACTCATTCAAAGCAAAACACATGGCTACTGTAGACCATTGTCTAGACCACACAGAGCACTGCCTCTGGTGGCTGACTAGGGGACAGACGGGAGTTTTTCTTTAGTCACAAAGAAACCTTTCCTCACAGCGTTTTAGGCAAAGTCTCAAGAGATGAGGTCACAGTATAATATGTGACAAAACCAAAAAACAAAACAAACAAAACCCAGAAAACCATGCAAACAAAAACCCTCTATTAAATAAGGGGAACTCTGAAAAATTAATGACAGTTATTTTGACAATCACAAAGTACTAGCCCTGAGCTAAACTATTCTTTAGGTCACATCCCTATTCAATGGGCCCATAAACTTGAACAAGCGCCCTACAGAGCCACCACATCCCCATTCAATGGGTCCATACGCTTGACCAAGTGCCCTTCAAAGCCAAAGTCAAGTCTTCCATTCAGTGACTTTCTCTTTCACGGACTTCGAGGCGGTACCTCATGGTGCCTCAGTTTCCCTTTAATCTCAGGAGTTCTATGGTAGAACATTCCTTCCAGGGTCACAAAGCTGTGGTTATCCTCTCAAATGCCCTCCAAAGTCTTCCAGTGACAGAATGAGGAGCAAGAATTATTACTAATTAGTGAAAATCTGTATAATCGCATAATTGGAGTGTATAATTGATGCTTCACTGCTGCAGGCAGAAGCGAGGGCTGTAGAGATGAAAGCATGGGAAAAGGAGGTGGCCATGGGCCCCCAACTACTGAAAAAGCAAGAGAAATGTGGAGGGGTGGGCATTGCAGGTTCCCGCACTATGCATGTATTGAATAAAGATCATGAGCTGGGAGTCAAGCAACACAGAGAAGTACAGAATGAGTCCTTAGCCAATAGCACGCACCACACCCCCACACCCTCACACTGCTCCTAGGAAATCTTTGGATGCCCACAGTCTGAAGCTTCTGTGTATTTCTTCTGTTGTTACATCAGCACCAGATGCTTATGAAAGGGTTTGACAGATGTCCATGGTCAGGGAGAAGAGATGCTCACCAACCTCATCTTCTTCGGCTCTTGCATTTGGTCTTTGAGTCCTCAGTGCACTGTCAACATCCAAGCAGAGTCCCTGCCCTGCCTGGTACCCACGTGAGTTTTGATATCTGTGGTCTATTTGTTTCAGGGTTCATTTGCCAGAAGGGAAGCAAATGTGTAGACACTGGAGTGTTTTCTCCATGCATGCGCTGAGATTGTCTTTTGCCTGAAGGAAGCAGGTGTGGATGGGGAAGTGAGTGTGGATGATCTTGGGATCATGAGACTGTCAAGAATAATGGTTAGTGAGACGGCTCAGTGTAAAGGCACATTTACACATGCACGCGCACACGCACACACACACACACACACACATACACACGGGGGGGAGAGAGAGAGAGAGGAGAAAGAATAGATAGGTGATAGATAGATAGGTGATAGACAGATAGATAGATGGAAGATAGATAGATAGATAGATAGATAGATGAAGTATATTTAAAACAAAACAAAAGAATTAGTAACAACCATATTGTGTCAGTATGCTGAGTTAGCTGATGGTGCCACATCACTTCAGAATGGGGGTGAATTGTCCCCACTTCACAGTAAAGTGAATGAAAACAAGGGAAGAGAAGCCAATTGCCCGAGGTTGCCCAGCTGGTTTGTGATGGAGCCTGGACTCCAGCACAGGTCTTATTCCAAAGCCATCTCTGGAACACCACCTGCTCTGCTCCCCTGGCACCTGAAACTATCAGGGCTGCTGCCACCACTGCCACCACTCTGCCAGCACCACCTTTGCACCAGCACCTCCTCCTCCCTTACTTCTGCTTCCTGCACAAGTTCCCATCAAACCCACAGGCTTGCTGGCAGGATCAAGTGAGCTGATAGTTAGTAATAAGTAGTTAGAACAATTGCTGGGCTTCCAGAGGCTTGTAACCCTTATGAGGCGTTGTTCTTGTTCCTCCTTGTGTGCTGTTACTATCTCTCTATGCTAGATACGCAGACCTGGGTGCTTCTGGAGTAAAGATAGGAGGCCCTGCTCTCCTGGGACTTGACATTAGTAATAAGAGGCAGAAGCTGCTGCAAGCCACCCACGCGGGCTCACACAGAAAAGGCAGTCTAAGTCTAGAATGAGGACCTACCGGGCTTGGGTTGAAGATGGAAGGCTTCCTAGAGGAGTTGAGATCTGACCTAGGGCTGAAGAGAGTGCTGAGGTTGAGACCAAAGCATTCAGGTAGGAATAGTAACCAGGATACCAGTGTGCCCCCCCCCTCAGAACTGAGGATGGAGGCGCGCTTGCTTTGTGTCTGTGGCGTTTTCAATGCCGAGACAGGGCTAGTTTTAGCGTAGAGTGCAGCACACATGGATTAAAGGATGCGAGAGAAACGAGAACATGGATGGGAACTTGGAGATGTCTGGGTGAGGTCTACAGATCAAGAGGAAATGGGTGATGGGGAGAGCACGCTGAGGCAGGGTTTACACGGAACCTAAAGACAAAGTCAGATTTTGATAGGTAGGGAGAGATGACAGAGCACGAGGCTTTGAACGAATGCCCAGAGAACAAGTGGAAAACTTCATCTTGTGCCAACCTGGCATCGTTTGCTACCCTCGACACCTGGAACAGATGAGGGAGAACGGGAACGGTAGCCTCTGAGGAAGACGCGTGGCTCCAGGGCAGTCTGCGCGAAGAAAGCAGACACGGCACACAGACACCTGGTTCTGTCACCCCGAGTCCCATCAGTGCACATGTCCCCATCATAACCTGCAGCGCGTGACATTTATCTGCTTGGCTTTAACGCAGCATCTTCACAGTTGCCGAAGGGACTGCTTGGCAACTGCTCGGTGGATTCCATGTTCCCGCTTTCCTGCAGCTGCTTAGGGACAGCTCCATGCGTCCCTCATCCGGTGTGAGAACTGAAGTGCTCATGCGCAGAATCAGCTCCCTGGCAAGACCGTTGCTCGGGAGTGGGGTGGGGATTCTGCATTACCTTTCCGTGGGGAGATATTAAAAAAAAAAAGATCTGCTCCTCCCAGATAGGGTACCAATGACAAACCAAAATAACAATGCCACTCTAGCCAACAAAAAACTATGTTTATTTGGCTCACTTATAGAGCGTGAGAGGCTATAGGAGAATGACCCCTGAACAACCACAACACCAAAAGTTCTCACCCCAGCATGGATGACAACTTCCCCGTGCCTATAATAAATGGAGTCACCTTCTCATCTAATCTTCCATACTTTATATACTCTATCACCTGAGACCCCAGACCCATGTGCACACCCCTGGAAGAAGGTGTAAGAAGGAGCAGGAGCCTCAGGAGTCTCAGGTAAGTCTGATGACCCCCTCCCCTCCATCGTGCCCTCCTATGAGAGGACATCGATCAGCTTGATCTCGGCGGTCTCTCGTTGGCATTTGCAGCTGCTCGGATGAAGATGACAGCGACTGTTAGGTTTGGAGGACAGCATTCTACGACACGAGGCATCTGTTTCCTGTGTGTTCTGCTTGCATTGAAGTTAGTGATACTGAACCACTGATTTGGGGGATGGGGAATGTCTTTGGACTCAGTTAAGGCTTTCGGCATCAGGGTGGGTAGACAGAGAGTGGGTTAGCCTGGAGCAGAGCAATCTATTAGTCTATCTCAGTAATCCATATGGAGGATTAAATGTAGGGATGGTGAGAGATCAAAGTGGGAAATATAACCACATCCTCCTTTTGTTTTCCCAAATGAGACTCTCTCAGGCAGATCTATGGGGGCAGAAAAAAGAAAAATTCTTAGATGCTGACAGATCTGTGTTCAGTTTCTGTTACTTACGCGCTGACTGATTTCTGGAAAATTCCTTTAACAAAGTAGTTTTCAATCGGGGGTGTTAATTGTTCTCCCCTGGAGGACATTCAGTAATATCTCGATACATTTTTGTTGCTGCTGCTATTGCCACCGTGGTCAGAAGGGAAAGCTTCCTACTATATCAGTTCCCAGAGCCCAGGACTGCTACTGGGATTTCCATATTGGATAGCGAGGACAGCACTCGCCTTCCCCAGATGAAAGAGCATCTGCTCTCAGTATCATGAGGGCTGGGGAATTTGTCAGCCCCACTGAGTCTATCTTGCCATCTGTCCAGTGGGGTAAGGAGCAGCCGGGAGCAATCAGATGTGTGGGTAAGAGTTGTCCCTGCACACAGTAGGCCCTCAGTGTAGTTCTCTATGATTCTCCCACAAGTCCCGTCTTTGTTGTGGGTGTGGAAGATCTGGAAGAGAATTCAAAAGCGTTGCTAAGCTAATTACAGGGCAGGAAGTTACACTGAAGCACATGAAAAGACCTGAGGTTACTTAGCCTGAAGAATGCAGGTGGCTCAAAGGTGGTTTAATAATGGTGTTAAAGCCTCGGAAAGGCTACGATCTCAGAGAAGTCGATCCACTGCTTCCCAGCTCCATTGGGGAATGAAAACGAGCTCCAACGAGGGTGGAATGAGACCAGACATGGAGCAGAAGATTCTCTCTATGGAAATTATTGGGAGAGAGGGCTTTCTGCAGCGCAAGAATCCTAAGGATAGCTTCGTGTCTGGTGTTGGGATGAACATCGTTTATTAGTGACACCCGAGTGTGCCCATGTGTTAGAAGAGCTGTGGATCCGGAAGCCTGCATGGGCAGAATGGTCCCTGTCTTACAGCGTTTACAGGTTAGTTTGGGGGCATGCGAGGAGTGCAGCTAATACTTCAGGTGAGCCTTAGGAGAAGACTCCCAAGATGTCAAAGATAGGGGATACAGGGAAGGATGGGGCAGCATTTGACATGGGTTTAGTGGTTCCATCAGCAGCTGGATGCGTAAGAACAGAGTCATGAGAAGATGGGAAGGTGGGCAGGACTGGTGGGCCAGAGATGGGGGATATGAAGGGTGGGGGAATAGCAGGGAATACTCTGGAGTCTGGAACAAATCAGGTCCCTGGGAACAGAATAGCAGGTGGGGCTTGGCCCTTGACTCAAGTAGGTAGAGGTGGACCTGGGAAGACGAAGTAACTGTGGGCGATATGGGGACCAGGAGGGTCAGCTGAGGACTATGGCTTGAGGACTCAGGTCAACGCTGAGGTAATGAGAGGTGTGGCACCTGGAGGAGGTGCCAAATCCTCCCTAAATTTTACTTCCTGGGTGTGCCTCTGGTCTCTCACAGGCAAGACAGGTTGTCTCCAAGCTGGGCCACCTCATGCCTGGAAGTCATCCCAGACTGGATCCTTTCCTCTTCACGTTGGAAACCTGGCGCATGACTGGGTGACCTGGCTGCTGCTGGTTCTGCTTCTGCACAGGCTCTGCTCTTGGTGGGGGGGCAGAGGCCTCCCTCAGCCTGGTCCAGTCACCTACTCCCCCTAGTTGCCGTCCTTTGTGTGTTCTATTGCTCCCTGTGTGATCCCTGGACCAGCTGGACTAAACTCTTGGTAATGATGCTTAAGTAAGTGGGTGCTGGGGAGGGGAGTAAGACTCGCAGAACCATCTAGGCCTCAGAGGGCGGCTAGGAAAGACCTCCATCCTTATCTACCATGTGGCTATCTGTGAATCCATGCAGGACATCTATGCTGGGCCAGGTCCATCCTAGGGTCACTCCTGCCTCCTGGGGCAACTGACTAAACTCATGCCCTCAGAGGTGGCTCCTGGTGCCTGAGGTCCCTTCTAAAAAGCAGCTTTTTTTCAATGCAACTTGGCAGCTTGTCTGCCCAAGGCAGGATGGCTTTGTCGTCTTTATCAAGGCTGAGGAATGAGGGGAGGGGTTTGCCATAAAAGGCCTAGAGGTCAGGACAGAGCCAAGGAGTTCTGAAAGGATGCTGCAAGGTACCCTATCGCTGCCAGATGATGCCCCGGAACTAGCTAGAGAGTTGACAGAAACAGCCTGAGGCCCTCGTCACAGTGGTCCAGCTGAAATGGGGCGGGTGTGTACCATGTAGAACACCGTTTGCCCCTTTCCTGTCTAGAGTGGTGGGCTCCTGTCTCTGCAGAGAGCTACCTCTCCTGTGTCCCCTTACCTAGCTTGGCATGGCGGCAGCACTCTTTGCTGGGGCCATCAGATGTCACAATGAACAGGGCTTATGTCAGGAAGATGTGGAGTTTCACTCTGGTCCTACAGTATTGGTTCTGGGACCATCCACACGGTACAGAACTGCACCAAGTTCCTTCCTGCTTAATAAATGAGGGTGTCACTTCCCATTCTATTGGATTACTATGAGAGCAAATGAAATATCAGAGTTCCTCTACCTGGTTGGTCCTCAATAATTAATATTCTTTCCTTTTCTGTTCCTGAGGACCAATACAGGAATGAGCTAGCTGGTCCTTTTAAAGTCTCTCAGGGACTCACTACAGGAGCCCAGGAGAACAGCCCATCCTTGAATTTTGCACACTGAGGCTTCTCTTGATTACCTTGGTCCCAGGCCTGCTCTGCCCATGAGTGAATTGTATCTCCAGCACAGATTTAAAGGTTGAATAACGCTTTGGAGGATTCTGGGGCCGGGTGGGGGTGGGAGGTGTTGGAATCTGCCAGGTGAGTAGACAGACATACCTGGGCAGTGTAGAAATCAGACGGGGAGAAAGGGGAAGATGAGTTCACAGTGTTAAGGACCAGTGGTAACATCAGACTCAGAATTTGGAGGGACCAGCTGAGATGGAGGACTCCATCAGCATCACAAGCATCCCTGAGATCCTCCATCAGCATCAAGGCATCCTTGGGATCTTTCATCAGCATCATAAGTATCCCTGGGATGGCATCCCAGCCCAGTTCCTCTTCTTGTTGCATCACCAGGAGGACAATTCAGCTCTTCCCACTCTGTGATCCTGCAGTCTGCCAACCACCTGTGCCGAATGAGAAGCTCATCAGATCCTTCCAAAGATCAGAGGCTGGCATGACAGAGGCAGGTACTGGCCAGTGTCGGCTAGCTCCGGAGCAGGGATGTTGGAAACATGCCTGGTTCAGGCTCTGAGTCCCACAGCTGCCTTATAGTGAGCCACTGGCTCCTTGCTCCTGGGAAGCAAAGACATTGCAATCGGCAATCTGAGTCACACCACTCCCCAGTTGTTTTGAAAGGAAGCTTCCTTAATGAAGGAGAATTGCAGGGGAGCCGCAGCAACACTGGGAAATCAGCCTCAATTTCCCTTGCAGTTGTCACTCTGCTCGGCCCCTTTCTCTTCGCTCAAGATGCACACAACGGGGCCTTCCACACAGCCTGGGCGCAGGAGACTCTGTGAGCCTGTGAGCGCCTGAGCCACTTTCAGCCCTCCAGATGTTCTACCTGTCTGTAAGACGGGCCCTCAGCAGCAGCTGGGGAAGGGGCTCGACAGTGGATGAGCTTGTTCCTCGGCTTCCAGCTGAGCAGGGCTTCCCTCCCTGAGGCTGACACCAAGTGCTCTTCCTTCCACACAGAGAACACTGGAGAGTGAAACTGCAACACGCGTGGGACCGTCTGTGATGTTTTCACAACATGGTGCCCACCCCAGAAAGTTCCCTCCCCCTCTACTGCCAAACAAGCAAACAAACAAACAAACAAAAACCAACCAACCAACCAAGCAAAGAAACAAACCCTCCAGCCAGCTCTAGTAAAAACGTCTGGACTAACCCTAGTTGATGGGCAGCGTTGCCTAGGGATGTGAAGTCAAAGGAAACAGTGGACAGAACCCTCTCCAGACTTTCTGATGCCGTGATTAGAGAGTAGTTGCGGGAGGTTTGATGTCATTTGCTGTTTAAGCCTTGCCCTTCCATAGTAATGTCAGAGTCTGTGGAGATGAAAAGGCTTTAAAGGCCATCTGGCCCACTCTCGCTTTCCTTCCAGCCCCTGCTGTCTTCTCTGCCTCTTCTGAACAGCCATTTCGGAGACACAGTTTTTTCCCCCGTGGTTAGTGTTAATCATCAACGTGACTGAATCCAAAAATCACCTGGTAGGCTGGCCTCTGGGCTTGCCTGTGGGGAGTTACCTTAAACACGTTAATTGAGATGGGCGGATCTGCAGGCCATGGGTGGTATCATTCACTGGCTGGGAGCCTGGACTGTGTAGTGGAGAAAGGGAGCTAAGGGAACTGAGAAGTGGCATACATTGCCTTTGCCTTGACTGCAGGGGCCAGGTGACCAGCTGCCTCAAGCCCTTGACACCTCCCTCCCATCCCCCCACCCCTGCTATGGCAGACAGTGTCCTTAAACCGCGAGCTCCGTTAAACTCTTTCTCCCAGAAGTTGCTTTTGCCAAGGTATTTTATCACAGCAACAGACAAAAGGATGCATTCCAGTTGTGGTCTTCTTGTATGGGGATTCTCGTTGTGTTTCAAGATCTGGGCCCTCCACACTGGTCCTCACCTTCTCTTCTGCTGAGTGGAATTCTACACATTGCTCTCATCCTCATGGGCTCACGCTTTGTGCGAGGCGAAGCATGAAGGGAAATCTTATTCTGTCATGGAATATTTATTTAACTATGCAAAGATGTGTTACATTTGTTTAGGCTGCATTTGTTTAACAATGTAAAGATGTGTTGCTTCCCCCGTCTAAGGCACCTGATTGGTCTAATAAAAAGCTGTACGGCCAATAGCTAGGCAGTAGAGGGATAGGTGAGGCTGGTAGGCGGAGAGAATAAATAGGAGGAATCAAGGTGTGTGTGTGTGAGAGAGAGAGAGAGAGAGAGAGAGAAAGAGAGAGAGAGAGAGAGAGAGAGAGAGAGAGAGAGAGCGCACAAGGAAGAAAGAGGAGATGCCCAGAGCCAGCCAGGCAGCTGCTAGACAGATGTGGAGTAGGACGTATAGAAAGGTAAAAAAAAACCCTAGGGAAAAGTGTAGATGAAGAGAAACAGGTTAAATTAAGTTATAAGAGCTAGCAAGAAAGGCTAAGGCCGAGCATTCATAACAGATACTAAGTCTCCATGTCATGATTTGGGAACTGATTGGTGGCCCAAAAGAAAGCCTGCTGCGTCATCCCCCTTCTCCCATAGCCTGGATTATGCCAGAAGGTGGCTGGTACATACACGGATGCATCTCTCTTCCAGAAGGATAGGGAAGTCTATTTCCTTCATGTACAGATTTGGAAGTGCCTTGGGTTGAATGTAAACTTTTGAGACCCACCTCATGTCAAGCTTCTTCCTTGGGAATTGGGCAGAAAACCTGAACATCTCGAGGCCCAGCACACTGGTTTATGAAGGGAATCATTTATCCCTGAGAACACTGTCTTGCTGGTAGGATTCAGACTTCTGGTGGTCTGTAGGCACTGCACAAAACCCTGGACTCAGGAAAAGATGGAGGGGAGGATCCAGCTGAGCTCGCTCTGGTGGCCCTCCAATAAACGTAAAGAAGACATGATGACATTCACTAAGGAAGCTGGAAGAGACAAGGAAGCCAGAGAAAATGGTAGAGTTATACCCAGGCAGTGGGGCCGATGCTTCTAGAAGAACCTGGGTTCACAGGCAGGTTAAACTAAGAGGAAGGAGATGGAGGGGAGGAGGCAGAATGCTATGATGATAATAGCAGAAGTCTAAGAGTAATGGTGGGTTTTGTGCATGCGTGCGTGCGTGTATGTGTGTGTGTGTGTGTGTGTGTGTGTGTGTGTGTGTGTGTGTGTGTAACAGAAAGTTAGAGGGGTTGGAGATTCAGCATAAGTTCCCAACACTTGGCATAGCTGCTCCTCTTGTCTTTCAAATAAAGACAAGGCTAAATCCCGAGGGGATTTTCAATGGATTCTCATTAGTTGAAGAACTTCAAGAAGAGGCATCTTCGTTCAGCATGCACAGATGTCTGTGTCTGGCCACCAGCACCCTCACTGAAGTCAAGCTAAGAGATGTTTGTAAGGATGGCCAAGCAAGCAATCCTTTGCCTCCTCAAGAAGTTGCCCTTTGCAAAAAACCACTTCACTTGTCTCCTGAGGTGACCGGATCTGCCGGTTGACTTTACACAAAAGAGTTCTAGCTGGGCCTCAGCTCAGGCCACCACTGCCTGAAGCAGCAGCACCCTGGACTGCCCTTTCTTTCTGGGTTTGGAACTACAGGAGCTCTGGGCTTCTCTGGACCAACCCTTCAGGGACGTATCTCCCTGTTCTAGAGCCTTCCAATTCTTTCCATCCACCTCTGGGCCAGGTTTCCAATTTGTCGGTATTTTCCATTTCATTTCCTTCACACTCACCTTTCCTCCCAGCAGAATCGTCTGGGGCTTTAGTTTCCTTTTGTTGGAATGAGCATTTCCTCTGTCTCCCAACCCTCCTTTTCTCCCTGCCCTACAACATTGGTAAATCAACCACTTCTTGTTCCTGGATGTACCTCCTAGGCTGGGGAAGAAAGGCTGGTACCCAGTGGCTCTGCTCCATAGTGTGGCTTCTGTGTCTGGGATGGGAGCTTGGAGAAGCCTTCACATCATCCCTGGTGGTCTGTCCAGTATCCTGGCAACCAAAAGCTACAGTATTCCCATATAATCCTTTGCTGATGGAGATCCCAGCCTCTATTCTATTGCCTCTGGCAGGACTGGCCCACAGCCAGTCTGCACAGATTGAGGAGGGGTGGCGGTATGGAAGAAGTCAGCTCCTTGAAGAAGTCCAGAGAGAGAAGTCCTAGCATCTATCATCCGTGTTCTCCGGTTCTGGAATGTTCTCTGGGGGAATGAATTGCTCTGGCTTAAATCTTTCTCCCTGTCATTGTAGATGAACTTATCTTAGAAAGATGGGTCTGGATGTGTTCTCTTGGGCCATTGATCTTCAAGGCTGGTCTGGCCGATCACCTAAAGGAATCCCCGTGTGTTTCATAATGGCATCCATCTGACTCAGGAATTTGGTTCAGGTCTTACAGTCACTTTTGTGTGTGTGTATGTGTGTGTGTATATGGATGAGTACAGATGCATATGTGCAAATGGAAGCCAGAGGGTGATGTCAGTTGCTCTTTAGTCTTCATCTTATTTATTTATTTATTGAGGCGAGTCCTCTTGTTGGCTTAGAGCTGTCAGACTTGCTCAGACTGACTGGCCAGTGAGCCCCAAGGATCTGCCTGCCTCCATCTCCACAGTGTTGGGATTACAGGTGTGTGCTTGTGTCTGCCTTTTTGACATGGGCTCTAGGGACTCACACTCAGGTGTCCATGCTTGCACCAGCTGGCCGAGCTGGTCCTCCAGCTCCTGTTTGTTCCTCTCATACAATCCCCAGTAGTAATGGAGTGGTGACAGTACCTCAGAGAGAGCTCAGCACTGGGGACTGTTCACTGGGTGATGAGACTATGACGTTCTCAGCCGAAGCAGGCTAAGATTCTGATTGGGGCTCCATTGCCAGAGAGGTTTCAAAGCAAGGGAAGGTGCTGGTCTGTGCATTCCCCCACTCCCCGTATTCTTCACTTGATAAAACTTTCTGGTTTTCTAGCCTTAGTCAGTCATTGTGCAGAGCCCAGACAAAACTGGGGTGATGAAAAGATGGGGCGTTCCCCAAACACTTGAGTGTGGAGAGAGAAACTTGTGCAGGTGCACTCTGCAATGCTACATGACAACCCATGTATGACAAAGAATGGTGACATGCCTGGGGCTTCAATGAGGGCATGGGGCAGAAACAACATTGGAGCTGGGCCTCTGTAGGAGTTCCACACTGTCAGATAAAACACAGATTAAGTTCGTATGTTTTCTTTTTTCTTTATGGCTGATCTGTCTTCTGTTATAATGTAAGCCAGCCAGTCTTTTCTGATATTACAGTGTGGGCTCGCTTGTCCTGTCGATGTTGTAGTACGAACAGTTAGTCCACCGGATGTTATAGTGTGAACCAGCTGGTCATTCTGATGCGGCGTATACTACTACCCTGTTCATTTCAATTGCTTTCCGTGGGGTTTGTCTCTACGCACCAAATGACAGGATTTGAAGAGATAAAATGCATCATCAATTATTTCAATCAAGTGATATGTGTGATTAGTGTGGCCAACTGTTCTGGTTAGGTTTTTGCCAAGTTGACACAAGTGAGAGTCATCTGGAAAGAGGGGACATCAATTGAGAAAATGCCTCCATCGGATTGGCCTGTCGGCAAGTCTGGGGGGCATTGTCTTGATTGATGATTGATGTGGGAAGGGTCGGCGGCGCACTGCGGGTGGTGCCATCCCTGGGCAGGTGGTCCTGGGCTGTATCTTTTAAAAAGCAAGCTGAGTGAGTTCTAGGAGCAAGCCAATAAGCAACACTCCTCCGTGGCCTCTGCTTCAGTTCCTGCCTCCAGCTTCATGCCCTGCTTGACCTCCTGCCTTAGCTCCCTCAATGATGGACTGTGATAGGGTCATACAAGTCGAATCCCCCTCTTAGTCACCTTTGGTCATGGTCTTTATCACAGGAACAGGAAATCTAGCTAATTAACCAATGATGTGTCCTAGGTCCCTTTCCATGTGGTACTGACTGCTGTTCATAAAGGCCGGGGACATCCAGTCACCAAGAGAACTCAACGGGTATGACTCTGGAGCCAGGACTGCCCTCCATGCCTCATTGAGCCAATGCAGAAATCTTCCCAGAAGAGAACAGAGCGAACTGCTTATGTCTGAGCCTGAGTTCCCAGGCGCCCCAAATGTGTCCTAATTCAAGATTTAGAGACAAGGAGAACATAAATCCATCCAGCTCTGGGGCCAGAGGAGGGCGGATGTTGGTGTTTGCTCTTTAATCAATAGCATTAGGCTTTTCGATGGATGGATCTTAATTTGATAATCTCCCCGAGGAGTCATTGCTTTTGACATGGATGTATTACATGGTTTCCTGGCTACCAGGGAGACTGGGCCAGCTTCCCAATGGAATGGGAATGTTGCTCTCTTTATGTTCTCTTTGTTTCAGGATCCAGGAAGGGGCTTGGTTTGCATCATAGCTTCAAAGCCTCGGAGCTGGAACAGATCCCGGTTAGTTCACATTCTCTGCCCCTGGAAAGACCACACAGGGTCCTGGAAAAACCATGCTCACCAGGTGAAAATACTTGCTTCATTCAAAAGAAGGTTTTCCATATCAGGGGAGCCTGAAATCACACCCTTAGCTGTGCTGAAGTCATTGGAGCTACTGTTCGGATTGTGCTTCATTTATTCTCCTCATTTCCCCACTCTTCAGACCCAGCATGTTCACTGTGGAGAAGCCGGAGAGCCCTGCAGGTCCTGGATGCCCATGGGTGGGCTGGCGGTGGGACAGTGGCACTGATGGTGAAGACCGCACGGGCCAGTGCCACCTCAGAGTGAGCTGAAGCAAGGAACAGGCGTCCAGTCAGCTCTCGTGATGGCCTCTTCTCTAACAGAAGGCCCCACCCTGCAGCTCTTGTCTTCATTCCACTGATTAAAGCCATTCCCTATTTTCCCAGCTAAGTCACTCTGTATTCTCCCACTGGAGCTGTCAGTTCTGCAAGGGCAGCAACAGGGCCTTCTGTATCCCCAAATCCTCTGCTGAATTACTGGTGTACAATCAGTATGTGAACGGATAGTTCAGGAGTGTGTGTGGGGCAGATATCTAGAATATATAAAGAACCACAAAAATTGAACATGCCCCCCAAATTTTCCAATTAATACGTGTGTTAATGAGCAGAGTAGATACTAACAGTTCTCAAAAGGTGGAACACAAATGGCGTGTGTGTGTGTTGTGTGTTGTGTGTGTGTGTGAGTGTGTGTGTGTTCAACACCCTTACTAGTAAGATGCCTGTAAATTAAAACTATTTGAGATTCCATCTAACTCTAGGCAGAATGGTTACCATCAGGAAAAAAAAAAAAAAAGACAGCCAACAGTGGTGAGGAAGTGAGACAGAAGAACACTTATTCACTGCTGGTCAGGGATAAACTGATACAGTCATTATGGAAATCAGTGTAGGAGGTTCCCTAAAAACTCCAAATGAAACTTGCTATACTACAGAAAGGACTCTAGTCCTTCCACAGAGATATTTGCTCATCTGTGCTCACTGCTGCACTGTGCACAATAGCTAAGAAGCAGAACCAGCTTAGATGCCCACCAACATATGACTGAGTAAAGAATACACACACACACACACACACACACACACACACACACACACACACTTTATTCAGCCATAAAGAAAAATAAATCATGGAACTCACAAGAAAATGGACAGAACAGGAAATTATTATGTTAAATGAAATCAGCTAGGTTCAGAAAGACAAACACTGTGTTTCTCCTCTATCTGGGTCCTAGATTTTAGAGAGAGAGAGAGAGAGAGAGAGAGAGAATGGGAGGTGCTGTGTATTTGAAAGAGAAGCGGGAGAAGAAAAAGAAGAGAAGGAGGAAGGGACAAACAGGAAGAAGGGGGAAAGAGGAAAGTGAAGGAGGAGAATTGACGGAAACAAGGGTTGTGTACTACAGCACCAGGCCTGTGGTGTGGCGCCTGCACTACAGGACCATCCATGAGCCGGGCAAGGGCCTGGAGATTTAAATACACAAAGATGCACAGACAGAGACACGAGTCATCCTTGAAACAGGAATGCCCCAAGAATGCCCCCCTTTATTGTGTACAAGAGCCACTTATATAGGGGTTGTTAACTGATAGCCACGCCCCAGCCAAACCCACCAGAAACCACTTACCTGCCATCACGAACTCCTGAGGGTCTCATGTTCAGAGCAGCTGCAAGCATAACACGTTGATTACAAGAAATTCAGGATCTGGGGGTTCATAGCTCCCAACAAAGTGTTATGAAAAAGTAACAGTGAGGCTTGGAGAGATGGCTCAGCAGTTAAGAGCAATTGTTGCTCTTGTAGAGGACCTCAGTTCAGTTGCCATAGCTGCCAGCACATCAGGGGGCTCACAATCCACTGTAATTCCAGCTTCAGGTTATCCAATGCCCTCTTCTTGCTTCTCTAGGCCTGTGTGCAAACACATACACACACACACACACACACACACACACACACACACACTTTGAAATGAAGAAATGCCATAAAGAAACCAATTACCATGTCAATAAAAACTAAAACAAAGAAAATGAAATTTAAAAAACAAAAAACAAACAAACAAAAAACCCTGGAAAAAGTTATTCCTGGGCTTGAAAGTGCAAACTAAATATGTATATTCCTAGATTTGTGGCTCAAAGATTCCGTCCTCGTCATTTTAAACATTTTTTACCTGGCAATTTATTCTTACCAAGCCTCAGGCTGCTGTCTGTGAAATACACCCCTGCTTCCCTGGGCTGCTATGGATAATTTACTTATGCAAGACGACACTTGCGGGCACTGCTCTCTACACCAGCAGGCGAAGTAGATATGAAGCGTGGTAGATCTGTCATGTTTAGCCTTCATCTAGTGTTCATTGTTCTCTTTCACTTGTTAATCATAATGGAAGACCACTGTGCTAACTATGTGCTCAAGGCCTGGACAATTGTCCCTTCACTTGGGACAGAAACTGCTCCCAGAGCTGAGCACAGGACTCTAAAAGGGCTAATTAGAACTCTGTGCTAAGAGGGGTGGGCGTGGGGATGAGCTATGACTCAGAGTAGTTCAATCATAGAGTTTCCTGTCAAGGAGGAAGAAAAAAAAAACTAGGCTTTCTGCAGATGAAATAGAGACAAACAGAGAGAAGATGCAGCTTCCAAGCCCTGATGGTGGGGTGCCTAGAGCGTGTCCTTCAGTCTCTGACACCACAGCTGTCTTTTTTAATATACAAACCCACATTTTGCTTAGAGTCTGCTTTCAGTCGTAGCCAATCAGCAAGTTATTCCTGGTCGTGTATTTATTAATTTAGTCTCTGTGATATATTCAACCAATGCTTATTGAACAAAAACAGAGAGGCTATGAGATAAAGGATTCTGGTTATCTTCCTGGGAGAGAGCTTCCGAGTCTTTGGAATTTTCCCATGATGGAAGTCTCTTTGCTATTGACAGGTACCCTGAACTAAATCTGATTTTATACGGAGAAGATGACTCAGGAGGGGGCTTCTCATGTTGGAGACCGATCAGTCGTGTGTTTAGAGAATACAGCATCAAGCCAGTTACGCAACTTGACCTCCTCCAGAGAAGGCAGGGGCTGAAGACTGACGTCAGTTCCATGGCCAATGATTCAATCAATCATGCCTACACAATAAGACTCCAGGCCCGGAGGTGGTGGCATACACCTTTAATCCTAGCACTCCAGAGGCAGAGGCAGGAGGATCTCTGAGTTCAAGGCCAGTCTAGTCTACAGAATGAGAGTTCCAGGATGGCCAGGGTTACACAGAGAAACCCTGTCTCAAAACACCCCCTCTAAAAACAAACAAACAAACAAGCAAAAACCCTCCAGGGAGACTTCTAGATTATCAGAGCCCAGCAGAGGACAGGGACAGCCTGTAGTGACTCAGTATCCCTTCATTTGACTGGTCCCAATTAATATTCTTTGTCCCAAGGCCATATGCACAACATTTTGCTGGGTCTGTGAATCAGTCAAGAGAATCATAAAACCTGACAAGGTTATGAAGACTCTGGCATTTGCAGCCAGTTGATCAAAAGTTCAGGTGCCATCTGAATTGGGACTCTTATTGGAAATGATGCTCTTGATCTGTGGAGTCTGTATCAAATAGTTAGTACCAGAGTATCACTGTAGTATTGTAACCATGGTATATGTGATCCAGTCATCTCACCATATGTATCTACGTGAGAGAGAAAAAAATGTATGGGTTTCCACCAAGAAAGAGACTTACGTAAAGATGTTTATAGTAGCTTGTTATTAAGAATCCTGAATCAGAAATGAGCCATTAGTAGGTGACTAAATAAATAGTCCTATAGACACTCTGGAATTACTATCTACCATTAACAAAAATGAATGAATGAAGAAATATGCAATATGAATTCAAAACAATTGTAAGTGAAAAGCTGCACGAAAGAAAAGAAAAAGACTATAGAAACTACACCTAAGCCAAGCATGTTGGCGTAGACCTTTAATCCTGGCACTCCAGAAGCAGAAGCAGGAGGATCTCTGTGAGCTTAAGGCCAGCCTGGTCTACAGAGGAAGATCCAGAACAGCTAGGATTGTTACACAGAGAAACCCTGTCTCAAAAAAACCAAAAATCCAACAATGACAAAACAAACAAGCAAAATCTATACTGTATGTTTTCGTTTTTATAAAACTTTAAGAAGTACTACATAGTCTACAGTGACAAGAGCAGAGAACACACCTGGGGTAGCGTGGATGGACGGATTACGGGGCTGAGGGAAATTTTTGGCAAAGAATTATAAAATATTTTACTTAAAAAAATTTAATTCATGAGCCCCAGCCCCTAGCTAAGTAAGGACCTACTGACAGTTAATAACTTCTGGGGAAAGAACAGTCAGTTTTCTTCATGGGTGTGGCTCCTGGTAGGTCAACCATCTTCCAGTGGATGACTTCATATCCATGAGTATACACGAACACAAATTGTACTTGAGTGTGCTGACTACTTTTATGCCATCTTGATACAAACTAGACTCACCTGAGAGGAAGGAGCCTCCATTGAGAAAATGCCTCTATAGAACCGGGCTATAGGCAGACCTATAGGGCATTTATTAATTAGTGATTGATGGGAGGGCCAAGCCCATTTTGGGTGACTCAACCCCTGGACTGGTGGTCCTGGGTTTTATGAGACAGTAGGCTGAGTAAGCCATGAGGAGCAAGTCAGTAAGCAGTACCCCTCCATGGCTTCTGCAATATCTCCTGCCTCCAGGTTCCTGCTGTGTTTGAATTCCTGCCTTGGTTCCCCTACAATGGACTGTGATATGTAAGACGAATAACCTTTTCTTCTCTAAGTTGCTTTTGGCTGTAGTGTTTTATCACAGCAGTAGTAACCCTGACTAGGAAAGTGGGTTATAAAAAAAAAATAAAGAGGACACGAAGTTGGGAAAAAGTAGGGGGATGGATCTAGGAGTTAGGGGGTGAATGAAGATCATATAGATGCATGAAAATTCTCAAAGAGTTAATAAAAAATTACACTTGATATATTTTTATTTTTTCATTGTGCATGTGTTTGATGTGGGTGTGGGTGCCCATGTGGTGATCTGAGGACAATTGTGTGGAGTCACTTTTCTCTTTCCACTTTCACCTGTGTTCTGGGGATCTAAGCCCTCGGCTGATGGTTGTGGTCACTATTTTCATAATAGTCAAAACTTATCAAACTACACTTCTCATATGTAGTTTTTTGTACACCAATCACATCTCTGTAAAACTCTTACAAATAACATGGCAGCATCTAACAGGGCTAGAACGTCCCCTCTAGCATCTCACTGGTGGCTTGGATCTAACCAAGTGGGAACTCCTGACCTGCCTCTTGCTTGTTCTTGCTCTGTTGTTTGCGATCACTCAGAACCCAGAAAATGGAGTCGCTGTTTTTTCTTTTCCCTCTCCCACCAAGAGTCAAA